CACTCACTCACTAACAATTAACTAACAGCTAACTAACTAACAATAACTAACACTCACTCACTAACAATTAACTAACAGCTAACTAACTAACAATAACTAACACTCACTCACTAACAATTAACTAACAGCTAACTAACTAACAATAACTAACACTCACTCACTAACAATTAACTAACAGCTAACTAACTAACAATAACTAACACTCACTAACTAAAAACTAACTAACTAACAACTAACTCACTCACTCACTAACAATTAACTAACAGCTAACTAACTAACTACTAACTAATAACTAACAATTAACTAAATAAATACATACATAGTTGATTGTTAGTTTTTTCTCATTTTATTTTGAAACAAAAGACAAAGAATAATCCACACACAGATTACTGAGGATTATATTTTTTGTTTGTTGACAGTTGTCATCATTAAAATGATGAAATGACACAACGTGGACTGGTTCCCAGCTTCATGCTTCCAGTTTTCCCAGTAAATGTTGGTAAAATTCTCCCTCCAGGTGTGTTCAGCAGGTACCTCTGGGCTGCAGTAGTTGGAGCACAAACAGGCTGCTGACGGTCCGGTCTSTTGTAACACATAACCAACATTTATGGAAACAAACTGATTCATTYATGTTGTTCAACAATAAGGTCCCTCCCTCTCCGATCAACATGACAGCTGCCTCTGGCCTTTTGTTACCCTCATCATAAACACCTGAGCTCACTTTGTAACATCTCTGCAGACAAATCCATATTTGATCATCTGATCTCCCAGAGTACAGATTTTTAATGACTGTTAGCCTGTGACAGAGGCCAGCTCTTTTCACGTGGATTAGAGATGAAAGTTGGTTTTTGTGATTGTTTTAAGAACAAACTCAGTGGATAAAACCAACCCAGTGAGATGCTGACCTTAAGGTGACCTTAACAGTGCAGGAAGCAGGACAGTTCTTTGGGTTACTTACTTTAGAATTTGTTAAGTTGTTTAGTTTTCACTGTTGAAATCAGGACCAAAACAAATCACACTAAAACKGTGTTTTTTAAACAAATTATATATTTTTATTCCACTCCTGTGTTTCTATGTAAACAGCCCAACGACACCTTTTGGCCCTGATGATGTCATAGATCCTGTTTGACTCAGGCCCAGCCTGTAAGCTTTGTGCACATGCTCCCCGTCTTGTTTCCTGTTTGTGGTGTGTTGTTACGGCGCCACACACAGGCCTGACATGGTCACTACAGGGGAGTTTTCATGTGGAAGGAAGCGTTTCCAGAAACAGTTGGGTGTTGATGGAGACACTTKTCGATTCTTTTGTGTTACAGTTTGACTCTGCTCTGTCGCCCTGACCGCTTCTTCTTTTTTCTGTGCTTTTGTTTTGTTTTGTTTTGTGCTGACTCTGCGCTCCTGTCTGCACGTGGCCGTGTGTGCGTGTGCAGACCGAGCTGCGGGTCTCTGCTGCCGCTTGGTGGTCCCCTGCCACAAGGGGATGCCCCGCCTCGCCGACCTGTCTGTGAAAACCAAAGACGTGTGGGAGATCCCGCGGGAGTCGCTGCAGCTCATCAAGCGCCTGGGGAACGGGCAGTTTGGGGAGGTCTGGATGGGTACGGATCCTGAAGTCAGGGGCCATGTGGACCGGAGGCCATCGGGTCAGAGACACCGGACGGACTCAAAATAAGAACAAACACATCTTGGAAGGGGATGGGTTCAGTTTTCTATAATAATCCTGGGATCAGATCCTTTCACTACAAACAAAAAACACATAAAAATCACGTCAGGGTGTCAGGTTTCTCTGCTCTCCCAACAAAGATGGCCTMCGTCCACGTGAGCCTCAGTGCATGCTCCTCTCCCCCGTAGTTAACCCTGTGCCTCCCCTCCCCCTCCCCCTGTAGAGAGTGCGGATGGTTTGTGCTTTAATTTAACGGGCGTGTGTGTGAACTACATCCCTGACACTGTGGGCTTGAGTCACGATGCCTGGGAGATCAGCAGAGACGCCCTGCAGCTGCAAGTAAAGCTGGGAACAGGATGCTTTGCTGAAGTCTTTTACGGTAAGAAACCTCAGGAAAACAGTTGCTTTTTGTACCAATCTGACAACAGCTGCAACAGTTCAGTTTGATCAGGTGAGATGAGTCTGTTTGTACAAATAAAAAACATTAAGAACTGTACACCCTGCTGCTGGCTTGATGAGGAAACATTTACCTGCACAAAATGTTTCACAGCAGGAGTTTAACAACACTGTCACATTATAAATCCAGTTTTTATTAGAATTTATCAGGAGAGGGCGGGGCTGGTCCTCAGTGTGACTCAGGCCTTGTTCAGACCTCAAACACTGGTCTCAGGTGACTCAGCTGTGATTCGACATCAGTTAAAGGGATCCCCGATTAGTTGTAACATTAGACTTTATTTGATAAACATTTATTTTAACTGTAAAAAAGACTGTAAAAATACTGTAGGAT